CACTGACATTATGTGAAGCTTTCATGACAGGAATAGGGACTAGTTTGACTTTTGATGCAGTAAAAGAGTTTGGGATGTTTCTTAGGTTAGAAACTGCAGTCACTGCAGCCAACACTAACTTTTAAGGAGAGACACTCAGCTTTTCCTATGAGCAGATCCACCATGGTACACAAAATGACAGTTTAATTATTATTTTAGGTGACACTTCAAATGTTGCATTCTTCAATTCTGAATAAGATAACATTTTTATAACTATGATACATGACAATGTTAATGTGTTTATGTGTAATTCATATTTAAAAAATAAACTAAAAAGCTACACCTACAGTACATATGAACTTATTTGAATCCAAATACTTTTTCATTCTACTTCCTTAAATTCAAATATGAATTGCAATGCCAGATCCTGTTTTCAACCATAATTCAAATTAAATTCAGATTAAGAAAATGAAATTAAATTTAAGGGCCATTCTCGAATAAGATCTGAATGGGGCACATCTCTGATTCTTATGTCAAATCATGTTTTTTTCTGGGCCAATATACACTGACTGCTAAGACAAATAATGTCAAAAATAATTTTCTTTTGTTGCTTAAGATTTTTGCACAGTCCTATATATAGCAACTCAAACATTTTTATTTCATTTGTTTTAAAAAGGCTGCAATGTGTAACATTAACATCTGTATAAAGAGAAGGTTAGGCTTTTGGCTGAAGATTATTGACAGCAAGCAAAATGTAACAAATTGTACAATAATAATAATAATAAATTATTTTTGTTTAATGTTGTTTAGAAAAACATTTATGGAGCAAAGCAGACAATCAGGTATCTTTGCTAATTTTATATTGACAGACAACTCAACTGTCAAAAATATTTTACAGGGAATAATCTTACTGACAGTATAATAAAGCAAATATGAAAATAACTGGAATCCCATTTACCTGTGATTATGACAAAGGTTCCATTCCCAAAAGTGACCTCATGAAGAAAGACAGCAGCACAATAATACACTGCAGAATCTGACGGCTCCGCGTTGGAAATAGTGAGGTTAAAACTCCCCTTTGCATTCTGTAAGGAGTAACGTTTTATATTTTCATATTCCTCATCAAATTTACCAGATACGTAGCGAGGTGCTTTCGCCATGAGCTGGGGCTTCTGACCAACAGCTTGCTTCAACCAAGCAACAAAAGTTGTTTCTTCTGGACAGAAGCATGTCAGGGTCACACTGTCTCCAAGCTGAACCCTCATCAGGAGACTGGGCTGAACAACATCCACAGCCAGTGCAGTGTCTGGAAAAACAGAAAAACACAAATAAACGTGACATACATCATAACAGTAAGCAAAATAACTATTAACTATGATGGAGATTAAATGACCACTTATTACACTGATCACATTATACAGGATATATGAAAATATTAAAATCCAAAAATAATTTATATTTCAGGACCTTACTAATTAAAATGAGAAG